GTCTCGCGGCCAGCGAGGGGGCACTTCGGCTCCTTGTCCGGGACGGAGCTCAAGCGAGCATCTGCCCTTGCACAAGCAGGGTTTCGGCCGGAGGAGAGGGGTTAGTCGTCATCATCCCCATCATCACTATTGTCATCATCATCAAGGGAACTGGTTTTCCCCAGAGAAAAGCTAGGCACTGGCTTGCTCCTCAGTCAGGGATAAAATAACTTCAGGAGCATTTGTCCGGTGGAAATACCCTTTGGAGTAAGGGGGGGATGTGAAATCCTCCCTGGCAAGATGCTGGGGTCAAGGAGGCCAAAGAGAGAGGGTGCCCTGGGGCAAGGGGCTGGTGCCTCTGGTTTTGCAGAGGCTGCAATTAACAGGAGTGTGCTGAAAACCTGTATCTGTATCTGCAGGTTTACCTCATCTTCTGCTGATTTGCAGAACACTAGGTAGAAATCAGAAAGGTTGCCAGAAACTTGCGTTATTTTCTGCCAAAGCTGACCTCTGGGTAACGATAGCCTGTGCACACGAGGTTTCCTCTGAATGAGCACAGACTTCTGTGATCGTAAGTTGGGACCTCACTTGCTGTGGGTGAAATACCCAGCCATAGCACGCTGAGGGGCTGTGAGGTGTGAATGTGAACACTGGTGTTACAGAAGCTTCTGTCCTCAAAGCTAGTTAACACATAACTGACTGTTTACAGTCCATAAAAGTGATGGTGAATTACTGTGTCACAAGGCAGCTGTGTCATTATAATTTTGCTTGTGTCCACAAGGACTCCAAATGCCTGACTTCAAAGCAACAACAGCCAGCTAATTAATATTTGGATAGCTAGTAATTGTAGCTAATTACAGAAGGAGGGCTATACTTCCTGGACCCAGGTACGACACATAGGTGTGTTGTTTGCATCTTGCATTAAATCCACTGCAAGCATTGCTGATAACCATGGTGGTAACAGGACCCTCCTGCCCTGGAGTTTCACAAGCTGGGATGGTGGAGCTAGGAAACACTCCCAGGCTTTGGTGTGGTGAGCCATTTCAGAGCACTGTGAAGAGCGGGCAACCCCACGTCCCTTCCAAAACGAATGAACAAATGCAATGTTGGGAATCTGGTAAAGCAGAACCTACTGGCAGACACAGTATCCTCCCAGTTGATGTAGCTCTCTGTAGGTTTTTGCTGTGTCCTGTGTTTTCAGTGAGCTGCAGCATAGCAGTGGTCTTAAGACCGTTGTGGAGTTTGGAAATATACAAATTCAGATAATGAAGTACTCTAAAATAATTTCATACAGACTTGAGAGGAGAAACTGTGGGTAGTGTTAACTCTTGCCAAGCCTCGCGGTTATCCATCCCACCCTAGAAGGCAGGTATCCAGCAAAGACTTTTTGCCGATTCTTCTGAGTTTGGTATATTGTGTCTACATAGTATAATACAAGAAGCCCTGGAATGCTTAGAAGATAAGGCTTGAAGGATTTTTATAAATTTTTTACTAACTTATTTTTTCTTAAATGAAGTTTACTTATACATCTGTTGTACTGTTGATAGCTACCAGATGGACTTGAGTAGGACTTGTGCAGCAGAAAAACAGTTCTTTTAAACTGATCTTTTAAAAAAGAAAACAGTTCTTTTAATCTTTTAAACCGATCTTTTAAACTGGTATTTCTTCTCTGAAGGAAGGTCTGAGCTAATTTGTAAAACTTGAATGTGAACTATACCGTGTTACTGTTTGCCTCAGAGCACTATGTATATGATATTATTGTTCATATATACATTTATATGTACACACACAGTGTTATCATTTCATAACACTCTGTACTGATACAGTCCTCATCTGTCATACTGTGTTCAAAACAGCAGCGTGCTTCCAGAAAGACGCTGACAGTTTGAAAAGAACTAGGAGCAAAAACAAAAATAAGAGGTAATTTTCAGTCCTGTCAAGAAAAAAAAAAACCAAAACACAGAGATCCAGGACTGGTTAGTCTAGAGAAGAGGAAAACTGAAAGAGAGAGAGAGGTCTTTGAATACGCAACAGGTTGCTGCTGAAGGAAAGGGAATGCCAGTGGTCTGTGTCCCACAAAGTGGGACGGGGTGGAGGGCTGAAACTGGAAAGAGGAACTGTGTGGGAAAGGTGCTGTGCACTGGGTTTGCACCAAGTAGCAAAATTCCTGCATTTTTTGAAGTCGCATCCCTCACAGTTTGCAAGTCCGCTGTGTTTTCAGTAAGGCCAGTGAGTTATCCAGGCCATCTGGCTTAGTAGCTAAGGCTGGCTGAGCTAGATAAACTGACACATTTTGGAAAAGCCTCTATACACACTGCAGGCTTGTGACCAGCGTCCTTTTCAATTGCTCTCATTCCAGCCCATGAAGTGTTTCCCTGGGAATGCTGTCGGGATATCATCATCCCTCACTGGCTGCTGGCTGAGTTCCCGCTGTGCTTTGGGCGCGGGGTGCCTTGCAGTCCGCCTAGGAAAAGGTGATGCACATAGGAAAGGGAAAAGCCCTCAGCAAGCGGCAGTGCAAAAAGTGGGGGCACAATCATCCCACGCTGGCCTCGGGGCTGGTGGGTTCAGCTGTGCCAGGATGCTGGGGGGTGATGGGGGAGCTGATGTCCCTCCTGCGCTGCTTGCGGGCTGGGAGCTGCTGTAATTTGCTGTCAAGATTCCTGAGCTGGGGGAGAGGGCTTGGGAGAGTTTCCCTTGCCGTTCTCTGCCCTTTTTGCCCTTTTTTCTTCTTTTTTTTTTTTTTTTTTTTTGGTGGCCTTACGTTAACAACCTGTGTCAATGATACAGCATTGAAGCAATTTAAAATTTGTAATGGAGTGATTAAAAAATGCAGGACTGACATACCACGCAGTGCTCAGATGTACTGCATGTTTTTCATACCACAGACCAATACTGCTGATGGGTTAATGCCTAAAACTCTAACATAAACATAGCTAGGTTTTGCTGTGGGATCTTTGCATTCAGAATTGGCAGTGGTTGGAAGTACAACCAAGTGCAGCTGCAACACATGTATGATAGGCATGCAAAGGGGTAACTACGTTAGTTTAAAAGCTGTATTTGGAAAAAAATAAAAGAAAAATCAAGAAATATTCTGGTACATTAGCTTGACATTTTTACATTGAATCACAATGTATTTGCTTATGGCACTGCAGACCACCATGGTCAAAAGCAGCAGTCCTGGTAGTGAGGTGCTTTCATATAGGTTCGTAGACAACCTGGAATGGAGGAGTTGGAGAAATAGGAACTAATGTGCAGGTACCTGTCTGTATCTGCTTTTCCTGTAACGCATGAGCCAGAGATCGAGTTTTGTGGATATTCAGGAATGAAGTAAGCACCTCTGAAGGATAGTGCACTGGGTGGGTACCAGGAGAGAAGAGGAAGGGACAGGGCAATTGCTGAAAATCATACTACCAAGTCCTACCTGTTGTTAGGCAGTGGGTAGTCTTGCCTTGTAATAACGCTGTCACTACTTTTAAATGTGGACTAAAAAATTAAGAAAGTGCAGCTGCTGCTGGTCACCAAAAATAGGCAGTGGGCTGGGGTAGAAGGTTGCCCTCTCCTCATCTGAACCTACTGGTCCTAACTGCAGGGTGCTACTATATTTAGGTGGTTGAAACCTGAAGAAAGTGTGGCTATGTTGTTTTATCACTGGAGCTGTGGTGGGTCATGAAAGCTTGTTCCCGAAGCTCATGAAGAAAATCAGGTTCCTGAAGATATTAATTGTAGGAGAATCACTTAATCCCTGGACGTGTGTAACCATTGCAGTGATTTGGAACAATTGCTGTTGTCACTTCTGGCTTTTGCTTATTTGGTATTTTATGGCTGATTTGTTGCTGCGATATGGCAGACAATAAAACTAAGATAAAGCTACACTAGGAATATTACCTGTTTTAAAACTGGCTGTGTGCTGTTAACCCTTGTCTTTCCTCTTGCAGGAACAGACTCAATGCTTCAAGGGAAATCGCTCCAGTAACCCTCCCGAACTGCCGGCTCATTAAAGGGATCGGTATGTGCTCCAAATAACTGAGTGTATTGGTTTTTTGTCCAGCCTTATTTTGCAGCTGCTTCTTAAAGCCAGCTTCCAAGCCTGACCCTGAAAACAAAGTGCTAATTTTACTTTCATTTGTTACTTGGACTTTGAGGTAGGGAGAAGCCGCAGGAATAAAATTATACTAAAAAAACTAGCTAGTTTGGTGCAATAGTTTTTGCCTTTGGTATTTTAGTGTTTCTGTTCCTTTTATTGAAAATGAGTACCTTGCAAACACTTGTTTGCTCAGCCACTTAGGAAATTATTTGTCTTTTAGATGAGGGTGTGCTGGCTCTTCAGGCAGGGACCCACAGGTGGCTGTCAGCTGGTGACCTCTTGAAGACAGGACGTGCTGCAAGGATGGAAGCTCTGGGAGAAGACCACAGGCATGTGGCGCAGGAGCGGCTGCTAAATGCCGACCAGGATCACCCGCCTTAGCGCCTGATTTTGCAGAGATTTAGGAGCAGGCTGGTATGCAGGCAGGAGCTCAGTGCAGTTGCACAATTCAGATGTGTGGTTTCAAAGAGCAAGGGGTCATATTTGTCATCTTAGTCTGGTTTGCAAAGAGGTTTAACAGAGTGGCTGAATTGTTGACTTTGTACTTTAGGTCATGTGTTTAACACACAGCAATGTTTCTGTCCTGTTTTTTCTCTCCCTTTAGGATAACCAGAGTATAAAATGGATAACTTTAAAGTGGATTTTTTTTTGTGTGTGTGTGTCTCTCTTTCCCCCAGATTATTATTTTTAAATTTAATACAGGCTTAATGGCTGGGGGGTTTCTCCTCAGTATTTTCAGAAATGTCATGAAGATATTTGCCTGGATTTTATATGTCTTAGATGTCATTGGGTGAGGTTTGCAAGCCTTGCCTTTGAGCTTGCTGAGTCACTGTGTTGATTGCATAAATCTTGCTTCTACCTTGTGTCAGGAATCAAACATCTTTGTAAAGTCAAATTGCTGCTGTGAATGAGCGTGTGCAGAGTTCCTTCAACCAAGGTTATATGCAGAAGAAATTGCATTTGAAAAAACTTTCCAGCTCTTGTAGATCAAGCTGTAATTACTCATACAAGACTCTGAATAATGCTTGTTTGATGGTGATTAATGTAAAAATAATTTCTGAGTAATTCTTTTAAGCATATCACCATTGCAATCTTTACAAGACTTTTTGCAACATGATTGTTGAGGAAAGCAGGAAAGCTGGAAATGGCAAATACAGTTGTATTTAATTTCCAAACAGTATCTCATTTTTGGTGCCTGACATTTACATTGAGATGTGGTGAGTTCTGAGAACCAGCTCTGCTCAGAGGCAGCAGTGGCTCAATTTACAAACCTTCATTTCTGCTTCTTGCTGTGCTCCTGTAACACTGTCCCTTCGCAGTGTCCGCTCTGCCATTTGATGCTCTTTAGAAAAATTAAAATGCCAAAAATTAATCCAGCAAGTCCTATGTGGCAGAAAGAGAAATAACCAAGGATTTGTGCAAACTTAAAAGTTGGCATGTTCACGCCAATGTCTTCCAAAATTCATTAACTATGACCGAGGGGGTTATATTACCCAGGGAGAGCAAGGAACCCTGATGTCTAGATGCTGCCTAGGTAGCACTATTCAGACCAGGGTTTTGCTGTACTCAGATCTGTAAGGCTGCTCCTGTGGGTGACTTTGTGTAAGGATATCTTTCTACATGGACATCTTATTGTATTAAAATACATCTGATGTATACATCTTTTTGTATTAAAATGCTATGATGCAGTTGAAAAAAATTATCTGTCTGTATTTTAACATTTAAAGCAGTCCTTCTGAACTCTTAAGTGGGACATAGGTAATGAGCTGGATCAGCTCTGAGTAAAATATCTTAAACTATCCATTCTGTATGTAGAACAGGCATCTGGTACAGTCTATTGTAATTATGTTAAAAGCAACGCATCCATAGCAAAGGAAGCAAAACCAGACTAAATGGAATAATTCTCTAGTGGACCCTTTTCTTTCTGCACAATTTCATCTTCTCTGTGTCTCTCTCTTTTTAAGACTTTGGTCTATTCCACCTTTCAAATATTGTGCAATGTAAGCACAGATGCAAACATTGAACAAACCAATAAAAAGTTGCAGCTTGTCCTAAATCTCATTCACAGATATGTAGGAAGCGCTATATTTGTAGAGTAAACAGTATTTTTTTAATTTTATTAGTGTCTAATCGTATTACTAGTTATTAAACTAACCATATGTCCTGTACTAATTCCTGAAGTTCAAGAAGCTACTATAGAAATTGCTAGAAATACTTGCATCTTGGAACAAGTCATGGGATACAGGCAAAATAGGCACTTGATTTTGGACATGAAATCCAGGTGTTTTTTTTGTTAGATGCACCTGTGGAATACATCATACTAAGGTAAAATAAAGAACAAAACCCCCTCATTTCTAGGGTAGGCAGTAATTTTTCGTGGTATATTTAATTCTTTTTTAAACACCATCTCTTCAGATAATCCCATGGACAAGCTGAGCTCGATGATACAATTAAGCAATATAGTGCAAGTCACTGATTCCTAATAAATCAGTTCCTGACTCTCCTGTCCCTGTAGTGCCTGTGACAGCAGCCCAGAGTCTCCCAAAATGGGCCCATTGGAGAGCCCGGGAGCTTCCCTGCAGCCAGCTGTGTGTCTCCATCCTCTCCTTGACACCTCGGCGGTGCCAGCTCAGCACAATTGTGCTGAATCAGCGTTTTGCTGCTCTCTCGATGGCGCTCGCTCTCTTCCACACATACCAGGATCTGGCTGAGAAGCAGCCGAAATGTGCTTTGCTGGGCAGTTCCTTTCAAAGTAGTTGGTTGCAGGGCTCTCATTATGCTCCTGCCACCAGAAACTTGGACTTTTTAATTGTCTGCTCCAAATGAGCCAGCTCATCTTTCGGCTTGGCAGCCTCGCTAATTCAGTAGCGATAACTGATTATGTTTCTGTTCATTCACTCACCAGTGTGCTCTGCCAGTAAAAGCTGTCTGTCCAGCTCTCGTCACCATGGTAATTGAGCCTCTCAGCATTTATTTGTGTTGTTGCCTTTGCAGCAGTCCTGGGAAGTGGGAAATCGCCACTAACCCTATCTTATAAATGAACCCAGACTTGGAGAGACCGAGAGCTGGGGCAAAGAGAAGGAGTTTGTTGCTTAAACCAGGGCATGAGCCAAGCTGAAATAAAAACCAACCCAAATTCAAAATTTTATTTGGAAAACACAGGCTTTAAATGTCTCTGGGCACACCAGTGCAGATGTCTGCCTCCTGCCTGAGCCCAGTCAAAATTCAGAACCAAAACTCAGGAGGTGGGGTAATGGGCTGGCTCCCCTCAGAATGCATCTTCGGATCGTTTCCTCTTCAGAAGGCAGGGATGCTCCACTTGCTAGTGTAATGGGGCGGAGCAGGGGCTTCCTGAGGCTGAGGCAGAGCTGGCCCTGGCCCCGGCCCCTGTCCCTCCAGGAGAAGTTGTGCCACTGCGTCTCCCCAGGGCTGAGCTGGGGAGGAACGTACTTGGACGGGTGAATTTGGAGATCTGGTTCCTCCCCGAAAGGGCTGTTCCGTAGCCCCAGGATAAATTACAGTTTGGCCAAATTAGTGCCAGGACAAATAGGAGTCACATAAAACAAAACAATAAACACAGCTCAAATTTGCAAGCACTGCCTCAGGAGGTGGTGACGAGGTGCCAGGGATGGTGTAGGGTCACATCGGTGGTCTATGGCCACTCAGGAGGGGTTGCGGAGAGATGGGACAAGCTGGGTGGAAAACCTTTGTGTTGGTGGCTCTGTTAAAGAAAAAAAAATCCTTCTTTAAGCAAATGTTCCTCGGTGGGTTTAATCCAGCCATCATCTGGAAAGTGGCTTGTGGGGAATGCTGTTTGTGCTGCTGATTTGGAGAAGAGAGGGGAGGCTTCCCAGGGGAGCAGTGAAAATGTGGGATGGCAAATGTGCTTCAGGATCAGACTAAAAGCTCTATGGAGAGTTCTTGATCAAAGACTAAAATTACTATAGTGTTCTTACTAAAGGGATTTTTAAATTTTACTTTATTTTATTTTATTATTATTTTATTTTACTATTTTATTTTATTTTATTTTCCTAGCAGTTACTACAGGAACTGGCAGTATTGGAAATGATTACCTGCAGTTAAAAGTGTGGTCTAACTATTAAAGCCCTTAGCTATTAAAGATATAGTAGGTTCTCCGTCACATGAGAGCTTTAACTAAATATTTGGAAATACATCTTAGTGGAGTGTCCCAGCTCAACCAGGAGAATTGGTGTGCACAGTTCCCAGAGCTGCGTTACGCAGGCACGTGGGCTGAGTGATGGGTATGATCCTTCCCTGAAGATCTCATTGTTTGTGCTAATTGCTTGCTGCAGAACACTGTGGGCAAAAGCGCACCACCCCAGGGTGTGCGGAGCTGGGCAGGAGACTGCCCAGCCACTCCGGGGGCACCCCTAGCTCCCCAGAAAGAGATGAACCCCAGTACTATTTCCTAACCTGGCGTGCTGCTGCCTTCTGCTACCGCTTTTAATGCGATGCAAACTTTTCCACTGAACTTCATCATCTGTGCAGTCATATCAGAAAGGGACGTTCATGAGAGCTGGAACTGTACTAAAAAGGAGGGTTTTCAATGGGAAATATTTAATCTTGTCTGAAAACCCCTGTTTATCTCTTGCAGAAAGTGGTTCAGAAGACATTGACATACTTCCTAATGGACTGGCTTTCATCAGCTCTGTAAGTGCCCACACCCCATCCCGCGCAGGGCTTGCCTGCTTCCTTATCTACAGAAGCCATAGGTGAAAATTGCAGGATGAATTTTTTTTTCCACAAGGCTAGCTGGCTCTGTAGGAATGGCCCAGACTTGTGTCTGCTTTGCCGGCATTTCCTTCTGCTTGAGCAAGTGCACTTCTTGACACTGAAGTGGTGGTGCCTCTGACACATGTATGCTATTGCGCCGGCTTATCTGCCCATGTAGCCTTGAATTTCTTTTATGCTGCTTCCTTGAAATGTTGAAATGTCAAACCTCTCCCTTGTTAAGAAGGTGTGTTAATTCCCTGCCTTTAAGAAAAATCAGATTTTGTCTGTTGATTTCATTGTTCCTGGGGTTTTTTAGCCTTTAGGTCATAGGTTTTTAAGCTTTTCTTTGCAATCAGGATGGCTATTTTCTAAAACAAAAGCTGATGTTTCATCTACATGCTCCAGGGACACCCAGGGAATGATAACGTTGAAATTGTGAGCTGTCACACTGCTGCTATTCCCCATGACTTTACCATGTTGGATGCATTCAGTGGTGCCATACTCCCAGTTTGTGCCCCCAGCGTGTCGGTTCGTGGAGTGGTTTGCATATGGGGAGCACCCACCCAGGCGGTGGCTGCAGCAGTGGCAGGATTGCCACCGCCGGGGTGCCTTGGGCACGGCTCCTCGTGCCCTCCACACAGGCTGCTCCCTCTGTGCTGCGACTGACGGGCTGGCCAGGGAGCGCAGAGCCCGTCCCTCTGCCTCCATCACAGCATGGCAGGCTGAAGAAGGAGGACACCTGATGTGTGCTTGAAAGCCTGAACAAGGGCTTATTTTCAGCCTTGTGTTGCTTCCCTTTACGTTTTATCCAGGAATGGTTTTCTTATGTTTTGATTTACAGGGCTTGAAATATCCAGGGTTGAAGACCCTTGCACCAGACAAGCCAGGTGAAATATTTTTGATGGATTTGAATGAAGACAATCCCAGAGCAGTGGAACTGAGAATCAGCCGAGGGTTTGATCTGGCGTCATTTAACCCTCATGGAATCAGCACCTACTTAGACAAAGGTAAAGAGAACTTTAACCCGAGGTGGTGGCAAATCTCAGCCTGAAGAGCACAAATAGAAATCCCTTTATGGCCTTGCACCGCAGCCCCAATGGTTTGTGCTTGCTGGGAGAGAAAAAGGGGTTTGGGCTTTTTATCTTTCTTGGGCTCTTTTCTAAAAGTCAGCTGGTACAGCCTTTGCACATAATCTCAGGCTGTCTGAGACAGAAAGATGTCCTATATATTGAAAGGAAAGAAAATGGGAAGAGTTTGAGGATTTGAAAACCACACAAAGCTTATTTTACCAATTTACATCTGCCTCACCCTGGGGTCAAGGGTTTTCAGGCAATATGTGCTTCACCAACTAGCAGTGACCACAGTGGAGACTTTTGTAACTGAACTATAAATTATCAAATAGTTGTAAATTACTAGAATCTCTGGTACTCTGTGGCCAAGACACGAGGCCATGTTCTCATCTCCAAAACATGTTGTTCTATGGCAGGTTCTGACTACCAATAAAATACCCTTTGTGCTCTCCTTCCTCTCTTTTTCCCCTGTCCTTGCACTGGGGATTTTAGCGGGGCAATTAGAAGTCTGCAAATACTAAGAGAAAGAGAACCATTGCTGCAGCTTGACCTCCATCCCCACGCAGTCACCCTTTAAGGGAAGGTGGTGGAGAAATTGATGATGGCTAATTCAGGGTCTCACCAGAAGGGCTGGGCTGCAGCCTTACACAGAGTACAGGAGAAGGATGCTCCTTCAGCTTTCTCAGGGGATGCAGTAACTAAACCAAAGAGCTCAAAATGGCTGGGCTACAAGCCCTCCTTCCCAGCTGACTGTGGCTGTTTCATGCAACCAGTCACTATAGTGAATCAGATTGCAAAACCCAGTGGTTTAGGCACAAGGATGGAGCCATGATTTCTTTCTTCCTTGGTAGAGCTTGCAAAAATGTAGTTTACACAGCAGTTCCCCGTAGAGAGAGCCAGGGAGAAGAGTAGCTGGAGGTCTGGATCCAGTTGCAGTGGCGTCCGGCATTACTTCGGTACTTGTCCTTCTGCCTCGGAAGAAAAATGCACCAAACCCAAGATGTGCTCTGTACTGGAGGCTGCTTCAGAGCTGTGGGTGCTCAGTGATGCAAACTGTTGCAGAGATCTGGTGAAATTCAACTGTTTCTGTTTCTTTTTTTGTAAGATGACACCGTATACCTCTTTGTTGTGAATCATCCCCATCAGAAGAGTACAGTAGAATTGTTTAAATTTGTAGAAGATGACAGTTCTCTTGTACACCTGAAAACCATTCGACATCAGCTTCTGAACAGGTATTGGAGCTAAATACCGTCTTTCCCCAGAAGAACAGGCTGCTTTGGTAAAATCCAGAGTAGGATGATTTAGAGTTTAGGGTATTATTAACATGAGATATTTTCTCTTTAACCAGCTTTCCTGTTTCTCTTATTGATTATTTCTCATCTGTGTAATCAAAAACTGTGTTTCTCCAATCTCTTCTGTAAATTTGATTTTTTAATAGTTGTATCACTAAATCAGTCTGAAGCACTGCTGTGGTCAATGCCAGTGAATTAGCTTGGTAATTAACCCACTCTCAGATCATTCCAGATATGAACTTCAGATATTCTATTATTTTTAATTTGCTACACTGTAAAAATAAACGTACTTTTAGCTTTTTTTTGGTTGCATCCAGAATTTTCTTGGTCTGTGCTACTGCAAAACAATTGCAAGATAAACAGAGCCTGAAACAAAAAGTTGTCACAACTCCTGCCTCTTCTCTGGTTTCCAGTTGAATGTAATAAAAGAGAGAAAAACTTCCATGGGCTTGCAGACAGGTGGCCAGATCTCTAGCTGATGCCCTGTGGTCCTGTTCAGTGCTGCACAGTCCTGGCCCATGTAAAAGAGAACAGAAGTAAAAAGAGTCTAAAGAACACAGCATCCATCTGAAGCACCATCTGTAATTGCAGCCCATTAATGTCTATGGGATGGCCACGTCCGGGCTGGATTCTGGGAAGTCCTACAAAACTCCTCCATACCTCTCATTTCATTCTTTTATTTATTTTTCTCCCTCTCTTTTAATCTTTTTTTTAGTGTGAATGATATAGTAGCTATGGGACCAGACAGCTTCTATGCTACCAATGACCATTACTTCTCTGACTTCCCCTTGTTGTTCTTGGAGATGTTCTTGGGTTTAACTTGGACAAATGTTGTTTACTACAGTCCAAAAGAAGTTAAAGAAGTAGCAGCTGGGTTTTATTCAGCCAATGGAATTAACATTTCACCTGACAGAAAGTAAGTTGCTCCTTGCCTCAGCTTTTGTTCGATCACCCAAAAGAATCCCCAAATCCTCATTTGTACATGTGGTGCCTCTGTGGTCAAAGTGTCTAAACTGGCTCATGTAAGGAAAGGTGCTACTTGTCCAATGTAAGCGATACGAAGGGTTTGTAGAACAGAAGTCACGTGTCTCAGTCTTTTACTAGCGGCAGTGTTTGCTGCTTTGCGTGATGGTTTATATGCAATAAGACCAAATGTTGCTTCATTTTAACCAGCTGATAGTTTGCGTATGTTACTTGCAAGGATTAATGGGGCAGAATTTCTGTAACTGGGGAATGCTCTACAGTCCAAAAGTCTGTAGGACAGAATTAACCAGTTGTGTGGCTTAGGCAGGTGATCTTAAATGAAAAATAAAGCATATTTGTGGATCTCATGATCCAAAGCCTGCTTCAGTGTCATAATGGAAGAACTGGCACAGTGTGAAGCTACATTAGCATCTTGGAAAGTTGGCTTCAGTTCAGTGCCCTGTGGGCTGCTTGCAGTGTCTGTTTCTGTGTGAGAACTGTGAGCTGGCATTCCTCACGGGAAGAGCTGGGCTTGCACAGGAGGAACTGTCTGGTTTTGTACTTGTACATATTGCTTAACAGGTGCTTTCTTTTGAAGGTACATCTATGTTGCAGATATATTTGATCATAAGGTCCATGTTCTGGAAAAACATGCTAACTGGAATTTAACCCACGTGAAGGTAAGGTGCTGCTGTTCCATAAAAAAGAGGCATATATGGATTTTGGACAGATTAGTCCCCGTGAATACTTGAGATTTCAACCTGATCATGTGTGAAGTACTGTTCTGAATGGGTCCTGCTGTGGGTTTGCAGAGGTGCTGTGTGCCCTGTTACAGAGCTTTAGGTCTTCCACCCTCACACCAGCAACCCAAGAGGGATCCTCGGGCATGCTGTAGCGCCGCAGTGGAAGTCAGCCGCAGCCAGCGCGGGGCAGCCCACAAAGCACTGAAGCAATCACCGTGAGCGTAGGTGCAAGTGAGCCAATGGGGGGAAGCTTGGAGCAGCAAGGAGGTTTCTCATGCCATGGAGGAGGGGATGAAACATACTGGGGGAAAAGAAAAACAGCACTGAGGGAGAAAATAATTAAAAAAACAAAAAACAAACCATGTCAAAGTTAGCTTCCAGGAGTCCTGATTGCTTTAAGTTCTCTCCTTGTTTTTCCTCTGTGTTGGGTAGATGTTGCAGCTGGACACTCTGGTTGACAACTTGTCTATTGACACCCACACTGGAGACGTCTGGATGGGATGTCATCCCAACGGGATGAAGCTGCTCTACAACGATCCTGAAAATCCACCTGCCTCTGAGGTGCCTTTTGGGAGATGTCACTGGTCTCCTGGCTATGTCTGTGCAAGAAAGTTGCTCTGTTCAAATCATCCCGGTATAACTTAACTGTGCGTTACATAGGGAAGTGCCTGCGCAGCCTTTGTGCAAGCAAAGACCACGCTGGCCCCCAGCTTCTAGCTTCTGCTCTTGAGTGGAAAGCCTGAACAGTGTATACTCAGCTTACACCTATTCAGATCCTTAGGAGACAACTGAATAATTTCCCCCAGTAGCTCAGTCATTCTGGACTCCTCAGGCTGCTGTCTGTGCAGCTGTGGCCATGCAATCAAATTTTGATGAACTGTGTTAATTACCGAGCCAGTGCCTCTTTGCCAAACAAAAAATAATTGCCTGAGTGCAAAGGATGACCAGAAGTGTTTGCACTGGAATGATTTATCTGTGCAAATGTGGTTCATCAGTAGGTGACACTGTAATTCTTTCGTTCTGAAATCAATGAGGTGCTGGCACCAGCGTGGTAGCAGCCACAAGTGCAGGTGGCTGGTTGCTGTCCATTGGGTTTCAGCCTTGCCTGAAGCTTCCCATAACACAGTTTTCAAAATTATCATGTTCAATAGCAGTAGATTTATGGTACTAGGTAGTTGTTTACTCTGTTTGGGAAAAGCATGAAAATAAGGAGATTTTAAGTAACTCTTAGTGTAGAAAATACTGTGCAGGTGCCTAGTGCTGGGCATGGCTGCCTTACTTATGAGGTGGAGTCTCTGTTGCACAACCACTTAAAAAAATTATCAGTCTTCATGGACCATGCTTCACTGAACCAGAAATTGTGGCCCTATGACAGGAACCACTTGGTTTCAGTTACCAGCAGCTGATCAACCTAACTAATTTGTTTAGATTAACACACTGATATTCCATCCATCTGTGGAGGATTTTCAGCTGCGGCCATTTCAGTAGACATGTCCCCTCCTTCGGCAGGTCCTGCGTGTCCAGAACATCCTCTTGGAGGAGCCTGTGGTGACACGTGTCTATGCTGACAACGGCTCTGTGCTGCAGGGAACCTCGGTCGCATCCATCTACGAGAGAAAACTTCTCATTGGCACGGTCTTCCACAGAGCTCTCTACTGTGAGCTATAGCTCGTTGTGGGTAAGATCTCCAGCAGAAAGGATTTAATTCCGTGGGAACTCAGTTTCTGCTAGATTTGCTAACTCGAAGACTGTTCCAATAAAGGTTAACTAGAATAATGGAAATGTATTTTAGATGGAACTGAAAGTGAGAAATTAGTTCATTTGTGTAATGTGGAGGGCTCCACGTTAGTAACAAAGGGTAACCTTGAAGTTCAAATTCAGATTACAAATGACTAAACTGTCAGATATTGAATTATCTGTTGTGGCTGGATTTCTGTTTGATTTGTTTGTTTGTTTGTTTTTTCCCACAGAGAAAACTGATTTTGTAATGAGTTAGCAAACTACCAGTGGGGTGTGGTTTCTTGTCACCAACTTTTGGGCTTTCCCAGGGACTGTGCTAAGGGTTCTTCTGAACCTTCCCATTGGCCTTCCCTAATGCTTCTGAAATAACTGGAAGGAGAATAAATGTTTTTCCAGTCTCATTTCTTGCTTCTTCCCCCTTTAAGCCATTTCCTAATGTTACTTCAGTTTCACAAATTGGTCTTAATGCTACTGAGAAAAGAGAGGGGCTTCACTTTCAAGTGGTTTCTTAGTAAGTCTTCCAAGGGGACTTCTAAAAAGCGTTTTTTTTTCTTAAAGGGTGGGCAACAACTCGGAAGCACCTTCAATGAAAAGGGCATTAGCAATTACTGCTGTCTGTTAAAGCAAAGGGAGCATTTCTGGGCCCTTTGCCACAGTGACTGCCTCCAGGTGTGGGTCACGCTTGTTCTGTGTTTAACTGCCTGGCTGCATGGAGCTGATGCCCATTGTGCTTCTGTGCAGCTTCGCGTTTATCCAGCGGCAGTTACTGATAACATTGTGCACTGCTAAAAGACCTCTCCAGGCTTCTATCGATTTATATTCTTAGAAGGGTGTTAGTTGGCAATCAATCACTTGCAATAAACTGAATTGAGGGTCCTTTGGAGCTGGGAATCAGTCTTGTGCTTTACAGTGTGCACTGCAAGACGCAAGCCTTGCAGAAGCCCCTCTTTGAACCACCAGTTGGTTTCCTGCCTGGGGAGCAAGCTCTTCGTTCACCAGTATAGATGTCACAGATATTCACAGATATTCACAGAGCAGCTCCTGCAGCTCTTTTTTGTCCTCTGAGTTCCCACCTCCGATCACTGCTTCGGCCTTGTGACAGATGCTGACATTCAGCGAAAGGCTGGGTGTTATCCATGGCTGCTCCCCTGCCCGGGTTGCTGCTGTGCTGCCTGTACCTGCCCGCACTGGTGCCTCTCAGCAGCTTGGCTGCCCCTCCAGTGGTGTCACCAGACAGCCCTGCCTGGGGCCACCATCTCCCCTGCATCCTGCAGCTGATGCGGTAGTGTTTCCTTGCAGCTGTTCTTCCACCAGCGTGGGAAGAAAAAAGGCAGGCAGCTCCTCAAGCGCAAGCTGAGGAGGAGAAAGAACCAGTCCTCAGCTGCTAATTGCTATTTTGGCTTTGCTGTTCCAGGCTGCAATTTGCTTCACTGCCAGCCATGGCCTCTAATCTGGAGAGTACCTGGTAAATCCAGTACTGTGAAAACACCAGCATACTTCTGCCTACAGCATGGAGCAAATAACCTGCTCTGTAGCAGCCCGAACACTGAGACAGGAGCCAGTGCACGTGCACACCTTCATCTGTCTTTGGGCTTTGCCGGTCTGGCCGCAAGGAAGCTTTACTGCGGGCTCAGGTCTGGGTGAGCTGTGCCCTGAGCAGCAAACGTGTGCTGACACCTCTTGGCTCCTCCACCTTTTATTTTGAACACAAGTAAGCCTAATGGCTCTCATCCCCTGGTCTAAAGGAATTACTGCTCCTTCTCTGAGAGAAGGGGGCAGGTCCAACCGGAGTGAGGAGTTGGTGCCAGGGCTCACGGCTGGGGCTGTGTTGCTGTATGGGAGGGACAGTGCCATCCCCCTTCCTCTGCACCGCTGCAGTGGACTGTGGGTGTTGTCACATCGCCTGCCTGTCCCCAGAGAGGGTCTGCTCCAGCCCGAGCCCCCATGCTGCTGGCAGAGTACGGTGTGAGGCACCTCCCTGGCCGCAAGTTGTGCGAGGGCTGAGAGCTGAGTTGGCAGCGGCAACCCATCTGCACCCTCCCCACTGCCAGCAGCTTCCCACTGTTGCCATGCCAGACAGCGCGTTCATCCCCAACTAGCAATAGCAGTTGATGGTATTTGGGATGTTTCATATACAAATGGTATGTGCTGCAGGGGTCTAGTGATGGCTGGAGGGGCAGACTTGAGCTTTAAAATTAACCGCACGGCTGGCTGACCTTGTCTTTTGGACACTTTTGGGCACGACACTGCGTGAGTGGCTCTGTGCTCAAACTGTTCACAGCTCCTCTCCAAAATGCCCACAGTTTGTCTGGGGATGTGAGCACTGGCCGGGGTTTACAGTCTACCTACAGAGGCTTTGGTGACCAGGGATTTATCTGTTCAGATCATGGTTTTAAGTCTTTTGCTAACCACGGGGTGCAGACAGCACTTCCATAGAGCAGAACTGGCCCTGAATGAGGGTGGCTTTTGCCTCATCCCTTTGCTGGACTTACCTTCAGCATCAGTCAACTACACCAAGCACCCGAGAACGTAATTTACTGTAACGCTGAGTTTGCTGCTCCTTTCTTAGCAACTTCTCTCCCTGCAGGACATTTGCATCTTCCCTGGGAAGCAGTGTGCCTTCCTACAGGAACTTGTAATCCATTTTCAGCCATGAGGAACAGATGTTGTTCCCAGAGCCTGAGCAGAAGAAACTGCTCTGAAGGAAGTTTCCACAATAAGGAGAGGTTGGGCTATTAGCTTGTTTGTGATTAGCCATCAATGTCCTGCACTAGCATTTTAAAATAATTATTTTAAGCCTGTGCCACCATTTGTTCTCAAGTAAATTAAGTGCCATCTTCTAACGAGTGTTTTGCAGCAGTGGCAGCAACACAGCTGAAACACCGAACAGTCATTCTGCTGGTCCCGGATTTGCTCTGTGGTTGCAGAAGTGTAATAGCATTTCCCTCAGCGGTGGTAGAAGTAACCCATCAAACATAAATTTTACTTTTTCCAGTAGCTTAGAAAATCTTCAAATGTCGTTGGATCTTATCAAACATCTACTTTTTTGTCAGTTTTGGCCTTTCAGAAAATAGATAACGTATTCACTCATCACTGGCTTTTTTTTTTTTAACTCTTCCCGTACTGAAGTTTTTCCCAGCAGTCTTCTCACAGATAGAAGCACGTGCAAGCGACGGGCCTTATCTTTTCCTAAAGCATTTGAGAGGAGAGAGACTGTAGATAGGATTTAGTACCTGCTATTACTAATAGTAGAATTTTGAATTTTAATCTGAGGCGAAGAGGGTTGGAAGCCCGTTGCCAACCTCCCCTAAGGTGTCCCAGCCTCACAGTGCAGAGGTGGGAGGGGAGGTGGCTGGGCCACCCTGCGTTAAAGTGCCACTGGGCAGGACAGAGACAGCAAGTACATGTTTTGCAACAAAAGCAATGGTGGCACGCGGCTTCTGCCCCTCAGCACGGAATCACCACTTGATAAAACACACTGGCAGCCTCGGTACAGAAACAGCAGTGAGAGATGGACCCCCAGCCCGGATTCCGAAGCACAAGGTAACCTGCCTAGGGAATATCCCAGGCTTGCTTCCCAGAGGAGGGCATAACCCATCATCTTTTGCAAGCTGTAGAGTCTGGAGCACTTATGGGCATTTCGGAAACCAAACTGCAGGCATCTGAGACAACTTGCACAAACAACAGGGACACATGTATAGATGTCTCCAGGCTCAAGAAGCTGCTGAGCAGACACATTTTACATGTCAGTCATGGACTTACAGCCTCTTAATATACCTATTTTAGTGAAGATAATAATTTTATGGATTGAGGATTCTTATATCTTCTTGCAGGTGGTGGCCATATTAGTGGAAAGCAAGATTTATGATTCAGCTGCTGGGAAACACGGACTGGGTTAAGCAGATTAAGTGCAGAGTATTTGGCCTAGATTTTGCTGGATGTAAATCCACTGAAATGACTACACAAATTGGACAGTCTGCACCCTCCGCTTTTCCCTAATTAATGCTTTACTGAAGTCAAATAAATAAAGACATATTAAACATGTTCTTCAGAACTGATGTACTTTGTACAAAATGCCCATTATAACTAACCTACACTTGAGAATAAAATGGCAAAATGTTTTTATATACCAAACTAATCCAGGTCTTTTAAACAGACAAACACTGACCAGCATCAGCATGAAGGCAGCCTATTTTTACATCAACCTGCAGCAAAAGACTGCATGCTACATTTCATCTGCATATGAAGAAAAAAGGCCATTCTCTTTCCTTACTCTATTTTTTCTTTATGTTTTACATAATTACAGATTGTAAACAAGATCCACTCAGAGGCCTGTGAATTATGCCAATCTGGCCAAGAGCTGGGATTAAAATAATCTTTGTCACTGCGCAGAAGGAAAGAAAGAATAAACAGGGCAAGGTCCACGTCCCCCCTGCCCAGTCTGATCCATGTAGCAACAGCTGTCCAGTCGTGCTCACCATTTATTTCTTCTGGAATGACCAACAAACAGGCAGGAAGTGAGGACTCGATACAAATTCTAGTAAAGATTCAGGATTTCTCGTTTTATTGCATTCGTTGTCTAACAACAATAATACTCATTGGCAATAAATTTATTTACACTAACAAATTAACTTTAAACCACAAGGCTTTGTTCTTTTTATTTAAACTGTAAGAAAACAAAGGGCCACCATGATGTTTTGTTTTGATGTCTCCCAATAATTAAATATTAACCAAAGTTATTTTGGGAAAAACTCAACAATCTAGAGAAGTTCATATCAACCAAGCACAAGAGAACAAGCTCAGACATGGCACTACTGTGTCCTTCATGCAGATGATCAGACACCAAGATGTACAAACAAAAAGATCAGGATAACATGCACTTCATATACATTTGACCTCTTTTAAAAAAGAAAAGAAAAAAGAAAAAATCTGAAGCGCAACCACCTCTTCAACCACATAAAAAGAAACAATATAAGAAGCCAATTTTTACAGTGAGCACAGTGCATTTTAGTCTTTTAGCTGCCTGGTCTTCTAGCAA